TTATATGGAAATATGTTTTCATGAAAAATCACATCCCTAGACACAAGAATCCGTCTGTTATTAATATCAAACACCTTGTACCCCTTTTTTCCTGAACTGAAACCTAAGAGAACACATTTAAAACTTCTAGGAGAAAACTTATGCTTTGAAGGAAAAGTGTTTGCGGCATAACATAAACAACCAAAAGTTCTAATATGATGGTATGTAGGGGACTTACTGTGCAACAATTCAAAAGGTGTTTTCCATTTTAACATTCTGGAAGGAAGCCTATTTATAATATATGTTGCCATTAAAATAGATTCTCCCCAAAAATAAGTAGGTAAATGTGATTCAAACATAAGACTCCTAGCCACTTGAAGCAAGTGCTTGTGCTTTCTTTCGACAACCCCATTTTGTTGTGGGGTGTACACACATGATTTTTGATGTAGAATTCCATTGATAACCAAAAAATTCTGAAAATCATGACTCAGGAATTCTGATCCATTATCAGTTCTAATGCTTTTAATATTGTTCCCAAACTGATTTTTGATCATGTTGTAAAAGAATTTCATAATGTGCATAACCTGTGTCTTGTGTTTTAGTAAAAAAGTCCAAGTGGCTCTTGTATAGTCATCAACTAGAGTTAGAAAGTAATGTGCTCCACAAATAGAGGCCCTTTTGTAGGGTCCCCATAAATCAATATGTAAAAGTTCAAAAGCCATACTAGATTGGATATGACTTCTTTGAAAAGGTAGTCTGTGTTGCTTTGATAAAGCACAAACATCACAAGGATTAAAAACCCCTTTATTACATTTTATACCTAATATGGAATGCTGTAAAACATTTTCAGAAACATGCCCAAGCCTTTTGTGCCATAGNNNCATGCCCAAGCCTTTTGTGCCATAGTGCAGCAGACTCAGGCTGGTTATTACAAATGCTGAAGGGTAAAGAAAATGAGGAAGCAAGCACAGATGCATTACACTGTATTGGGTTGTATTTTTGTATGGTTTTATGAAGAAAAGAGTCCTTATCTAGAATGTAAAGGTTCTTGATGTTTCTACCAACTGCCAGGATCTCCTCAGTCAGACGGTCCTGCAACAAGCAATGATTATCAAGAAAGGTGAATTTAAGGTTTGAGGTCTTGGCTAATTTGCTCACAGATAGCAAGTTAAACTTGAATGTGGGTATATGCAAAGCTTCTGTGAGGGTAAGATCTTTGCTGAGAATTACATTACCAGAGTGTTCAACACGATTAATAGTACCATCAGGCAGATACACAGGTATAGTGGTAGTGATTACTTTTGGTTTATTCATGAGTTTCA